GCAACGGCGAAGGCTACGGCTTCGAAAACGTTACTTAAAAAGTGAATTTACGCTGCCTCAAACTTTATCGCACTTGTTCCATCTCCTTTAATTTGTCCGGCAAATGTTGGCAAATTTTTTTGGAGTTGAATTCTAAAGGACTGCATCAAAGTTCAGAATAAGCTAGAATAGCAAAAAGAAAGTTGTTGTCTTTTGTTCCCGTCCTCCACAAAACGTGAAATTAGGCAGTTTCACGTTGTAGTCGTGCAACGACGGCAGAGAAATGTAAAAAAAAAAGCGTGACGCACGTGCAAAGTAGTTGTTTTGCTTGTCTAAACCTATTTCTGTTTTGCCGTTCTCGTTGCCGTCGTCGTCTTCGTTGTGTAAACTCCCTATTACTCCTGTGGGGCGGCAAGCTTGTAGTTTGGTTGCCTGAGTGGTGTAAAGGTCGTAGTTTTGTATTACGCCTGTGGGGCGGCAAGCTTGTAGTTTTGTTGCCTGAGTGGTGTAAAGGTCGTAGTTTTGTATTACGCCTGTGGGGCGGCAAGATTGTAGTTTTGTTGCCTGAGTGGTGTAAAGGTCGTAGTTTTGTATTACGCCTGTGGGGCGGCAAGCTTGTAGTTTTGTTGCCTGAGTGGTGTAAAGGTCGTAGTTTTGTATTACGCCTGTGGGGCGGCAAGATTGTAGTTTTGTTGCCTGTGTGGCGTCAAGATAGTAGTTTAGTATTACGCCTCTGGGGCGGCAAGCTTGTAGTTTTGTTGCCTGAGTGGTGTAAAGGTCGTAGTTTTGTATTACGCCTGTGGGGCGGCAAGCTTGTAGTTTTGTTGCCTGAGTATAAGAAACTAACTTTAAAACTTACCTCCTCCATTGGTGCTTCCGCCATCAGAAACAGCCGTAGAATGATCGAACATTAACTAGAACATTTCCACCTAGATGAGTTGGTACCGATCAATTTATACTGATGTGTACTTTTCTACTCTTGCTTTAGAAATCACACAAGATTACCTGCAGCCTGATGAACAAGAATCACTACAATCAACGATGAACGATAGTTTCTCAAGTAAACCTTGATTACTTCAGTAAACCTCCAATGTTTAGCTTTCGAAAATACGAGTACGAGATTTCAAGCCTCACCCCAAATCTTCTTACGGACTGAAGTTGATGGTAGACTCTGTTTTTCTTTTTTGTGAAATGCTGTTTGAACTGTGACTAAAACTTTGTAATGAAAAGCTTTCAAAAGCAACTTTTGGGATTACCCAGCTGGACTTTTCATTTGTTTTTAAGCTCTCGTAAGCGACCACTCAGAGTCCTATTCGACTAAATCAACACTTAACCGACACTGCACACTGCTCTACTGGTTTGTTGATAAAGGTCGTGGGATCTATTTTGCTCTAAAAACTGGACATAAAGTTTAGCCATGTCCACATCAGATTTTAAGACACTCATTTAACATTAATTTCTTTTGTTTTCTCTTTATAGTTACTAATGAGTTTAGCGACTGGCCTCTATTTTCTCGCCATGCGGTTGTTTACGAGAGCTCATTCTTATAAGCATCCAGCTCAGACTAAGTTATGACCTCTTTTTTGAATTTCCAAGGTGGTCGCTTATGAGAGCTTCGACTTTATTATTAGTAGTCATTTTCATTGTGACAGTTAGGAGTAGGGTTGATTAGAGAGGGGGAACAGACTTGAGTACAAAGAAAACCAAACAAATGGCCGGAAAGCATCGGAGTCATGTTAGAATGTTAATATATAGAATATTAAGAGGGGGCCTTATAGAGAGATTGTGGTACTTGAAACTTGCATTTTACTTACTGGCTAATAAGAAATTTAGCCCCAATACAAGGTTAAATGTAAAGGGGTAGGAAAAGACAGAATAGCATAGCAGGGTTTTCTTTCAAGGTGAAACATTACAAGAGAATACTTCGAAAGAGGCTCCACATCTGAATAAAAATAATCATTAGCTGACAGAATTCTCCAGTCTCTGATACCTAATGAACATCCTGGCATAGTTAACACACTTAAGAGCCAATGTCTGTAATTTTCGAGAATCGGTTGACAGTGGTGAATTTTTTAATTTCTTCATATTTTGCTCAAATAATCTCTATAGTACACTAATTTCAAAAATCACGTTAAAACTTGTATCAGCTTTTTATTTTTTCAGGAATCAGGCAAAGTTTGAGAAACTCTAAATCGGCGCTCTTTCGAGTATGAAATTAGCGAAAATGGAGCATTTTCTTCGCGCTCGTACATAAAAACAGAATAATATCTCTAGATGAAATCAAGTCACAAAACAGACACATATTTTTACTTTATAATTCAGCAGTTAACTTTAAATAAACCGTTTAAATGTGACTGTACCGGCCCGAAGAAGAAACACGGTTTCAGCACTTTTCAAAAATGGCAAATTTGACCTAACTTCACCATCGTAAAAACCCAGTTGGTACACGGAATTTCAATATGAAACAAGAACTGTATTGAAGCATATCCTTTGCTGTTGTTTGTGTTAAAATGTTTCTGGCGGCATTCCAAATGCGCACCGTCGAGAGACCAAAACCTGAAGGGTATTTTGACACCAGGAAAGCGCGTGCAACAAGCAAGTTTCAACGCTTGGCGTATTAATCCTTCGCAAACCTAAGTTACTTCGACATTTAAATCCTAGTCAGAGTTGTAACGGTTTCAGATTATATTTCGGCGTTTCTGTTCGGTTTAACATGATTCCTTTCAACTGATTTTTGCGATAAACCATAATGAAGAGACGAATACGCAGTTCAAATCACAGTTAGTAGAGGGGAATATTGTCGAAATACTAGCTTGCTATAGTTTTAATCGTATTGAAACCTTAATATCAGAAAAGTTATTTACTTACCTGAATTTAAATGCTAGACGGGGTCACAGTACCGCTAACTAAATTCTGCATCACGGCAGAATCGAAGTTAAGTTTGTATATGTTTTCAATCTGTCAACACGAGGGAAGATGACATTCCGGAAGTGCGTGACGCGCCGGAAAAGAAATTCCTGGTATAAGTGTTTTACGGTTCAAGTCTTTGTTGCTTGTTCGTATACCATCTCGCACATATTCAAACTTGGTTTGTGGCGCCTGTGGCCCCAGTAATGCTGAATGTATTGCGATCATACAAAAGATGTCGTGAGTCACTTGGTATGCTCCTGACTTGTTAGTCACGTGAGTATGTAGGGCAATAACCAAACATCGACCCGACCATGCTAATGATAAAAGTAAGGTTTTCTGTATTTACGTTAGGTGATCTTTTTTTGATCCACAAAATTGGCGCATGAAAATATGAGTTTTTCCTCACCACCTCTAAATGTTTGGTTCCGGGTAGCGGTGCAACAAATCACGTAGTACCGTTCTAGATCAACCTACTGGCTGCTCATAGAGGGGACCATAAAAGCACATTGATTGATGACTCTGTATGGCCTGAACTGAAAATGATATACGCAGACGTTTTCTGAGCGACGAATGTGCAGCTTTTACACTCCTCTTTCGATTCGAAAATAGACGAGCACGCGAGCGAAGCGAGCTGGAGACAGACAGAGCCCCTTGCTCTACTGGTCAATAAATCCCCACGGCTTTTTATTTTCATACGCAAAATCGACGATCTCAAAAGAAAATAGATCGACGATCTCTAATGAAAAAAGTAGGGGTCTGTGAACAGGCTACGAAGGTGCTTGCTATTATTTTAGTGAACTTTACAAGAGGTCTCAGGTGATTATGCCAACGTCATGAAAAGTCTACTTTAGGGAAGGAGGAGGAGATGGGTGGGTTGGTTGGCATTGGGTTCTCCATTAGGATCACCCCTACACATACAACAATTCATGTCTTTATCACTACATTTAGAGCTAGCAGACTTTGTTTGATCCACAAAATTGGCGCATAAAAATAAAAGTTTTTCCTCACCACCGCTAAATGTTTGGTTCCGAGTGGCGGAGAACAAATCACGTTGTACCGTTTCAGAACAGCCTACTGGCCATGCTGGCTGCTCATTTAAAAAGGGGTCTGTAAAGGCACATTAATTGATAACTCTGTGCGGCCTGAAGAAAATTATATACGCAGACGTTTTCTGAGCGACGAAGGTGCTGCCTTCACACTTCTTTTTCTTTTCGAAAATGGCCACGGACTTCTCGCCTCGCTTCTCTCCGCTAGGCGGTTGTTTTTGCCTGAGAGATACCACCACGAAGCAGATTTAGCACACAAGTCACTGTAGGTGCAGACCTAGGAAAAGGGCATTCTCCATCTGAAATTTTAAATCGAAATGAAAGGCTGTTTTCAGCCTTTTATCTCTTTTCTGCGCAACGTATTTGGTTGAAAGGTAGTAAGTAAAATGGCTGAGGCACTTTAAAGCATTTTTTCATTTACGCGACGGACTTTGACGTTATGAAAAAGAATTTGTCAGTGAATTGGTTTATTTTCTAGCCTGCGAACAAGTGCCGGGGGGATGGTGGCGGATAGAGCCAGGTGACTACTTTTTTTTTTTTAGGCGGGAGCTAACAGTACGTGCATTCTGGTCTACCCCATACTGTGTAGACCGGCCTTTAAGGGCCTCTCTTCGGGGGGGCGAGGGATCAGTACAATTCGTCAACAGCAGGTTGAGGTCTCGCCAGAAGTTGCCCTTGCTGAAGAGGAGCAAAGCAATACTATTTTCAGTAATTTAAACATGTTAAATACTTGTATTTCGCTCATCAAATGTGTCCATTGTCCATTTTCGATTTGTGGTTTTTCAGGAATGTTCTTTTGCGGAGCATTGGCCAATTTTCTTTAAACGGTTTTACTCGTTTCCATTTCCCTGCTCTACCTTCATGTTGCATATGGCATACGTGTGTACCTAAATCCCTCAATTCATTAAAGAAGTCTATACGCTAAGCGGGGTAAAGATTAGTTTATTACAAGCAAAGGCACAGAAGGCTTAGTGCAAATAAAAGAAAACTAGTGTGAAAAGTTTTGCAGGCTCGGCTTACTCTATTTGTTTTCTTTCTCTGTTTGAGTTTCGGCTGGTGACATCCTAAAATCAAGTTTAGTTCGACATGTTTTGGGAATATAAAATATAAAACTAAAAAAAACAGTGTTAATTGTACACTCGTGCGATGATTTATCCTTGTCTGTACAGTTGCGTGACCAGACTCAAATTACACACGGGCTTTCATTACGCATCACAGCGTTTAGTCCGAGGCTAAACGAGGGAAGATTTCAGCAAACTGCGGCCACTTGCGGTTGAAACGACTGTGGTAAGTAATTCTTAGAGATGTCGAATCCCATTTAGAGCTAGCACGCCGTTTCTAGCGGCTTTATTTTAGGTGCAGAAACTCGAGGTCAATATTTACAGTCCATGCGAACTTAACAGCGTTGTCTTTTTCAGCTACTTGCGTGCAATCAAATGCAGTGTTAATCTACTTAGTTCTTTTTTATGACTATCACATTGAAAATCGTTTTTCAAAAGATTTCTAGAGCTTCCCGTAATGTGCCCCTTGTAAAACAAGCTAAATTAGCAAATACTTTTGTGTTCCTACACTCGCGGCTAGCTTGTTTTCAGCGTTCCAACGTGCGAAACTACGCTGCACGTTTCGGTGTCTCAGCGACGCACTTTTGTAATGCCGCCAAAAACTTTTTAACACAAGAAATGGCAAAGGATATGCTTTAAAATAGTGTTTGTTTCATGTTGAAATTCCATGTATCAGTTGTTTTTTTCGATGGTAAAGTTAGGTCAAATTTGCCATTTTTGAAAAGAGCCGAAATCGTGTTTCTTCTTGCGGTCAACACAGTCACATTTAAACAGCTTGTCTAAAGATAATTGCACAATTATAAAGTACAAGTCTGTGTTTTCCTTGTGACTTGATTTCATTTAGAGATATCATCCCATTTTTATGTACGAGCGCGAAGAAAATGCTTAATTTTCGCTAATTTCATACTCGAAAGAGCGCCGATTTGGCGTGTTTTAAACTTAGCCCGATTCAGGAAAAAATAAAAGGCCGTTACAAGTTTTAATGTGATTTTTGAAATAAGTGTACTATAGAGATTATGTGGGCATAATATGAAGAAATTCAAAAATTCACGACTGTCAACCGATTCTCGAAAATTACAGACATTGGCTCTTAACTGTTCAATTTTCATCAAAACAGGCATTTAAGAAATAGACAAAAATTTCTGTTTGTCTTTAAGAATTATGATTTCTAACGTTTTGATAACATTTCTATGGTCTTTAAGAGCATAGATGGTGGAAAATTGTTGTATGTTTGTTTTTCATCTTCCATTCCCCGCACAATTTTCTCGGAAGGAAAATAAACTGCACGATCATGTCATTTCCATGGTCTCTTCTCTAATAGACTGTAGACTGTAATACTCTTGTCTCATGTTGTAAAAAAGAAAAAAAATACTTGCGTGTGATAATCCTTTGTACTTAAGGCATTGCTCTAGTGGCTCACCGGGGGGGGGGACGTTGGTGGCGGGGTGAGGCCCCCTGGTGCCTTACTGTTGCTCTTCGGTGACTATGAAATCTCAGTTTTTGTAAAGATATCAAATGCTGGGTACCCTTCTCTGGTTTAGAACGTTTGGCTACCTACAGCTGTAGAATTTTAAAAGAGGACATCCTTGGACTACTGAAAAAATAAAGCTTAGGTAAGGGTCTGTTTTCATACTCTTGCATTATATTGAGCGTAATCTGCAAAACAGGATCACATGCCATACAACTGCACTTGCTTACCGTGATGAGTTTAAGGGCAATTGGTTCACTAGCAAGAATGAAGACGCACCGAAAGAGGCTGTTCAGCATTTTCTCTTTTTGTTATTTGCAGGTGCTGATACCTAACATATACCGAGATGTCTTTCTTATTTTCACAGATTCCTATTCCTTGACTGAAGGCAGTGCTAAAGGCGTTGCAGTTATAAAGACGCTATGGACTTATTGATCACTTGTTTCCCTAACTGGATTAATATACAGGAGCAAAACTGGTTGGTTGACCGAGCTATATTTCAACGGTGTGGGGATTGGGAATTAACAATTAATGTCACTTAAAGAATATTATAAAATAAACAATGAGAGAGCATAGAAATGTATGGGCACAAGCATGAGAATGTGAGCTCTGTGAATCCATTTTTCTGCCCCATACTGTACTTTGACAACAATGGTTTTAAGGTGAAGTAAAACTTTTACGCATTATTCGACGAGCTCGAACAGGAACATATCGCAAATCCTTTGCCACTTGCCATCCAGTTTCGTTTTTAACTTTGTTAAGCTTGTCAATCCCAGTTTCTCTTAGTTTCGCCTTACGTTTTCTCCTCAGATATGCGAGGAAATCATTCTCCGTTCTGACTAAGTTTTCACAGAGGCGCTTTGAATTTTCATCAAGATCATTTCTAACTGAATAGCCCTTTACAAATTTGTTATGATAAGCTCTTTGGATTCGAGTACCATTGATCAAGCATGATTGCTGTATTTCCTGTTTTCTCTGACGAAAAGTATTCAGTTCCGCATAAAAGTTTGGTCCTTCTTTCTTTACTCTTCTCCAA